TATATATATATATATATATATATATATATATATATATATATATATATTTAGAGAAATATCAATTTTATGAAGCTACAGCACTGAAAATACATGAATAGCCTAATGGTTGGTAATACATAAATTAATTCTAAAAAACAAAGAATAATGATAATTCCACTTCAAAATATAAAAAACGCTGGGCAGTGGTGGCGCACGCCTTTAATCCCAGCACTTGGGAGGCAGAGGCAGGCAGATTTCTGAGTTCGAGGCCAGCCTGGTCTACAGAGTGAGTTCCAGGACAGCCAGGACTACACAGAGAAACCCTGTCTCAAAAAAAAACAAAAAACAAAAAAAAAAGTTTAAAAATATAAAAAATAAATAAGAAAGTCAAAAACCATCTTAATCAACAGAACCAACAGGGCTAGGCATAGTTATAGAAACTAAAAGAAAGAACAACTAGATACTGTCACAGTAACAGATACAAAGCACTTTAGAAGACACCCAAAGGAGCTGCTCTACTGAGGTGTTGCACTTGCCTTGTAATACCACTCCTGGAATTTCTTACAGCAGTCTTCACTGCAGAAGTCTCTGACAACTCCGTCAAGTTCTTTAGTGGCTCCCTTCTTACACAGCTGAGAACAATAGTTGCAGGTAACACATCTTAATCCTAATCGTCTTGCAAAATCTTGTTTGTATAATAGCTTGCAGCCTGAAAAATGTTGTAATTTTAAAAAGAACACATAAAAAGACATTTTAAACTGAGACAAATCTTGTAAGACTAGCTAATTATCAGTTTCAGAACATGTTGAATATATTCACATGTAAAATCCTCTTCCCTTCTGACTGAAAACCTCCATGTTTTTATGTGTACATTTCAAGTGCATGTGAAGACCAGAGCTTAATGCTAGTGGTCTTCCTCAGTTGCTCTCACTGAACCTAAAGCTTGCCAATATAGCTCAACTGGCTACCCAACAAGCCTTCAAAGCCTTCTGTCTCTGCTTCCCTCCCCAGTGCTGGGATTACAGACTGCCATGTCCGGCTTTCACATGAATGGTAGGGACCAAACTCAGGCATCATGCCTCGTGTTTCAACAGCAAGCACTTTACTGACTCAACCTTTTCCCCAGGCCCTCTGAAATACTAGGTCTACTATAACAACACCAACCTATATACATTAGAACAGAATATTATTATATTAGAAAATATATCATCTATCACACAGGTTCAAACAATACTTTTAAGACATTAAAATTTGGTAATGCTTCAGATCTATTTTCTATTTGAATAAAATCACAAATATACAAGTGAGTGCATTGGAAAATGAATGCAGACTGCTAAAAAGTTCTGACTAAATTCAGATATTAGAAGGCATTATATTCAAGTTTTCTAGATTCTTCCTAACAACCTATTTTCATATAGAAATTCATCAAGAAAATAGAACTCTGCTATCTACTCCTTTAATAAAATACCTCTCTTTATCTTCTGCATAAATATATTTTCACATATCTAATTTCCCACCTATATACTACCTCTCAAGTTAAATAAGCCTCCATATTCTTGCTCATGCTACTTCATGTAAATAGAATAATCTACTATTATCTAGGAAATCGGATCTTTTAATAAAAAGCTCAAATTATAATTCTACCATATACAATGTTTTCATGAACTCAAGTGTTTTAAATGTTTTGTCCTATCTGTGAATCTCTGCTTTTGGAAGCTGGGTCTCATTACAATCTAACTCAGGGTGGCTTTGAACTTTCAATCTTCCTTTCTCAGATGCCTGAATGTTAAGATTGTAGGCAACTGCCACCATACCTAACTATACAGTTTTTAAAAATAAAATGTTTTGCAAATCACTATGTAACATTCTACAATTTATTATTACCTATATTTTATGTTTAAAATTACATTTATTTACTTTCATATGTAAATATGTATGTGTCATGTCATCATGCTATAGCCATGCTTGACATGGCAGTCAAGACAAATTTAAAGTCAGTTCTATTATATGCGTACTGGGAATCAAACTGAAGTCATCAGGCCTGGTACCTTTCCCCACTGAACCATCGCCAGCCTTTGAGCTATATTTTAAATATTTTTTTAATGTACATCTCTTTAGTTTTTTTATTGTTGGGTGTTTTATGGTTTTGGATTTTTTTAAGACAGTCTCTATGTAGCTCTGGCTGTCTTGGAACATACTATGTCAATCAACCTGTTCTGAAACAGGCATCTACCTGCCTTTGCCTCCGGAGAGCTGGGATTAAAGGTATATGCCACCACACCTGGCCTTTTTTAATTCACTGAATTTGATTGATAGTAAACAGAAAACTTATTTACCCAGAAAACTAGGTTGAGTAACAAAGGACTTCAAAAAAATAAAAAAACAAAAACAAAACTCATTCAGCAGTAAAAAGTAAGAAAAATACATATCCTTAACACTTTATACCCATCTGAAACTTTAAGTCCTTCCCAATGAAAATTATGTTTCTAAGGACTATTTAAGATGCACTCTTCAATTTAATAAAAACCATTTTAGATTTATAAAAATATAATTTCTATAAGCTCACCGATATATATATTAATAATATTAATATGCTCAGACAGGATAAATTAGACTGCTTTGGAACAAAAATGTAGGCAATGGAGTAAATCAACTCAGTATTAATCTTCTGTTGTTTTTGTTGCTCTTTTTTTCAAGACAGGGTTTCTCTTTATAACAGACCTGGCCATCCTGGAACTTGCTTTGTAGACCAGGCTGGCCTCAAACTCACAGAAATCTGACTGCCTCTGCCCTCCGAATGCTGGGATTAAAGGTGTGTGCCATCACGACTTAGAATTGGTCATTTTTATTGTAACTTTGCTCATAGATAATAATAGTGAAGCATGGTTCTAGGTGAGGATGTACCAATTACAACTAAGTAGAAATGTTCTGCTTTGTTAATTAATACCTTCTAAGATGCATGCTGTATTGTTTGAGAGATGTATGGAGATATCATTGAACACTGACTGTTGGCATTCAGGATTACCCAACTTCCCTTTTACCCCAAATCTGATAGAGGAATTCACACAAGAAGTAGAAGCAGGGGACAATGAGTCCACAATGGAAAACTAACAGGTTAGAACAACAGATAGGAAGCTTTTTTGTAAGAGTATTTACTGCTAATGTCTGTAGACTCATCGTTGAGAATGAGAGACACTGAAGGCTTCAGTGATCTCTAACTCCCCCTAACAAAACAAAACTGTCTAAACAGGAAACCACTGAAGAAAGGCCTTAAAAACTGTGATAGGAAGTGGGTCAGGGGGTGGGCGATAAGGAACAGCACATCTTTAACCTCAGCACTTGGGTTAGGAAGAGGCAGATGGAGCTCTGAGTTCAAGGCCAGTCTGGTCTACACAACAGAACTACAGAGAAACCCTGTCTGAAAAAAAACAAACAAAAAAAGTAATAGGGATATAGCTCCTCATTGCTGATAGCTTCTAACAGAGCTGTTTTTTTTAAGGGGATATGTGTGTGTGTGTGTGTGTGTGTGTGTGTGTGTGTGTGTGTGTGTGTTTGTGTCTATATCTATCTCTGTGTATATGTATGTATATATATATCATATATACATATATAAAAATATACATATGTATCATATATGTGTATATATATGTATATGATACATATATATAGCTTATATCTATATAAATTTGAGAAGAAAAGAAAAAGATATGTCAGTGACTCCAACAAAAGACAAGATAAAGGCAGATTAGACCAAAAATGTGACAATTGGAAACACTAACAACAAGCACCTAAAACCCAATCCTGTTTCATCCTGTTTCTATCTCTGGAGAAGTAAATTTAGAACTAGAGTTCATGTCTATAATCTGATTTCTGGTATAACACCAATGCAAGTCTAGGTGAAGAGAAAGGACACTTGTGAACTATGTAACAGAACCCAATGTGTCTCAGACATCACAAACCACAATGTATCCACTGTGCTTGTCACTGTGTGTAACTCCTCCCCACCTCTCCATCAATGACACTCACTAAAATGCTCTGGGTCAGAGAAATTTCAGATTTGGAGGCTTTTGTGGGGTATTTATTTTTAACAGTTGCATGGACTTTAGTGACTTCTTAACCAGAAACTTCTGGAGTATCATGGGTTTCAGATGTTAAGGTCAGTGATGATCAATCTATATACTAGAAAACTCTATAGCTGCAAGCTGGTAGGGGAAATGGAGCTAATGCAAAACATTCTTCCTGCTCTTGAAAAATCAACTTTCAGGTATTAATGTACAATTAGTTAGTAGTAACATGGTATGACAATGCTTTCCTTCATTTTATCCCAAAATTTCTAGAGATGAAACCTTGAGGCCCAGAACTCTTAACAATACATGTAAAACAACAAAAAAAAGATTCAGTAGAAAAGTAAACTAAGCCGGGCGGTGGTGGCGCACGCCTTTAATCCCAGCACTTGGGAGGCAGAGGCAGGCGGATTTCTGAGTTCGAGGCCAGCCTGGTCTACAGAGTTAGTTCTAGGACAGCCAGGACTACACAGAGAAACCCTGTCTCGAAAAAACCAAAAAAAAAAAAAAAAAAAAAAAAAAAAAAAAAAAAAAAAAAAAAAAGAATGAGAAAAGTAAACTAAGTTTTGTAAAGCCATATTAAAACTGTGTACCTATTCTGGATGTCTGTAATTATATATTCTTTAAATAATTTAGCAAAAACCATTATATATATTGAAAGTTAAGAACAATGCTGTATACACACTTGCCTTCACTACAGAAAGGTCTCTTAACGCCAGAGAAATTTACTGTTTCATGCAGAGTCTTCTCCTCTTGGCAGTATTCGCAATATGTAACTATGCAATGCAACTTCTTATAGTCATCTGAGCAAGTTTTGCTGCAGAACTGATGCACTTTGTTCTAAATGCACAATGGGAACCTTGGTAAGTATGAGAACCATCTCAAGACCAAGTTTAAAGAAATAAACAAGCCACTTTTACAGAAAGTTAAATAATGTATCTACTTAATGCTATGATCCTTGGAGATACATTTGCTAAAGGCCACAGACATCTAGGTTAACCAACTGAGCATTATTAACTACCCTGAAAGTACTGAGTGACTAAGAGAACAATCACTAACATAAAGTAACAGCCTTAGATATGCTAATGACTTGGAGAAACACTAAGAAAATAATGAAAAATACAATGTAAGCTATAGAAATACAAGACACTGCATTTTTAGGAAATCAAACATTCTTGTCACACTTTAATAAAAACATTTATTATGTCTAAAGTTTTCAATTTGGAGAGATGGGTCAGTGGTTAAGAGCACTGACTGCTCTTCCAAAGGTCCTGAGTTCAATTCCCAGCAACTACATGGTGACTCACAACCATCTGTAATGAGATTGGATGCCTTCTGGTGTGTTTGAAGACAGCTACAGTGTACTCATATACATAAAAATAAATAAATCTTTAAAAAAAAATTTTTACAGGCTCTAAAATTATAAACCTTCCAAATATTTTGGAAATCATGGAGTCTAATTCTAGATATCACTTTTGACCTAAGTATTACATTTTAAGTAACATGTAAACAACAATAGAAAATAGTCTGATTTTAGTTTTACATCTTATATAACTTTTAAGTATATACTCCATGCTCTACACTCCAACCAACCAATCTACCCAAAAGAAGGTTAAAGAATGGCCAAATATAAACATTGTTCAATACAGCAATGGGCAGCCTGGATCATCCATCTATCCATTACTGTCCTCTTAAAGAAACTAACTCACATGGAAACAGCAAAAGAATACAACAAAGTAAGTACCCTAGAAAAGGTTAAGTGCTAAGGAAAATGAACAAGATTCACACCTCTACGCCCTTATTAAAATATATTTATTAAAATATAAGATATTAAATAACAGCACAGTATCTGCCTTACAAATTCTAATTCTACAAATATTGAGCAATAACATATTCATAATTCACAGATGATAATAATGACAAGGAGAGAACAGTATAGTAGTCTGCACTGACTCTGGGTATATGAATTGACTTTTATATTTTATTACATACTATTGTGCGTGCGACTTTAATAAATTGCTTCCTTGAAATTTATCCTATTAGTTTCACTTCCACAAAGTAAACAAACCAATGACACTATTATTGTCCACTTAAAAAGAAGTTTTCCAAATAGAAATGACATTTATTTTCTTAGATTCTTGTCTTAGTGCTAGGTAACACATATAAGGAAACAAGACTTGCCTCCCATTCCAAGATTTCTGGTTTTGAACAAAAGGAATTTTTACAGTAGTTGCATTTCAACTGAATATCACTGGGTGCTACAAACTGGCCATTTGGAGATGACTGCATGCTTAGAGCCTAAAATAAAGAACAAAATACACTTAGTCTGAGAAGTATTTTACAACTACTAGCCATAAGAACTATCAAATGTCTACTACATGCAGAAAACAAGTTTCTTTGCTAATTATTTCTTTAGTACATGAAACAACAATTCTTAATTTTGCCTTTAAAATAGACTGTGTCAAAGGATTAAGATATAGTTCAGTGGTAGGACGCTTCAATTTCCAGTACGGGAAAAAAAAACGCACAAAAAAAAGTTATATTTAGAATTGAAATATTTACCAAGCGATTATCTAAATATGAAAAGGAAAAACTACAGCTCAATTATTTCAGCTGAAGAAAATGGGAACAGTAAGGTTAATTTCACAAGTTCTAAACTATAAATAAAATCAGGGAAGAGAAATGAGGAGAGAGGGAGGAAGAGACAAGTCAGGAAGAAGATAGAAAAACATGCACTGATCGCTCTAAGGTTCAAATATTAAGTAACTCCCATCACTCCCATTACTCTCGCTCCAAGTTATCATCAAGAAAAACAGCATGTATTACTTTTTAAAAAGATAATCAATTCTTCAGAGTTAGGTGGGGAAAGAGTAAAAGCTGGTATTCATACCAGAAATAATTCAGAGAATAAGATGGGATATATAAGTATACATGGACTTATAATGCTTTTCTGCTTTTGTTTTTTGTTTGTTTCCTGATTCTTCATTTATGATAGGGCCTCCATATAGTCTCTGATGTCCTGGAACTAGCTATGTAGAGCAGAGATCCTTCTGCCTCCCTAATGTTAGGATTAAAGGCAAATGCCATCACAAAAGAACTTTTCACCCCCTAATTCCTTTTCTTTTTTTTCATTTCTTTTCTATTCCTTTCTTTTATTTTCACATCTTTTCTCTTCTGTGTAACCTGGCTGTCCTGGAACTTATTCTGTAGACCATGCTGGCCTCAAACTCAAGAAGTCCACTGCCTCTGCCTCCTGAGTATGGGGATTAAAAGTGTAAGCCACTACCATCCATGCAAAACTATTTTTTCCTGATTCTTAACCTGAATACACTGGTATTTATCTTTCTTTTGAAGTATATCACATATCACGTATACATGTGACATATAACATTGTGCTTGTATCAAGTAGCTAATAAAATTATTCAACAAACACTGAAGGGAGAAACAATCATTTTTAAACACAGTATAATTAAAGTTTGTTTAAAAAAAAAATTAACAGTGGATTTCTGAGTTGGAGGCCAGCCTGGTCTACCAAGTGAGTTCCAGGACAGCCAGGGCTATACAGAAAAACCCTGTCTCAAAAAACCAAAACAAAAAAAAACAAAACAAAAAAAATAACAGGCTGGAGAGATGGCTCCGTGGTTAAGAGCACTGACTGCTCTTCCAGAGGTTCTGAGTTCAATCCCCAGCAACTACATGGTGGCTCACAACCATCTGTAATGGGATCTGGTGACCTCTTATGGTGTGTCGGTGTGTCTGAATCAGCTACAGTGTACTCACATAAATAAATTATTTAAAAAAAATTAACTATCAGATGACTAAAATGTTACATGTCTTTCGGGCCATCTGATGCAGCTTCATCTACTCAAGACTAAAGGACTTTGAGTCACAAACCTGCAAGAGCTATATTGAATTTTTTAACTTCTAAAACTGTGAACTTATAGCAACTTTTGCATATAAGCTATTTTGTTATAATTGCTTAAAGAGATAAAGAGTATTATTTTTTTTACAAATTTATTTTTATGCGTGCTGGTGTTTTTGACTGCATGCATATGAGGGTGCCAGATCCCCTGGAAAAGGAATTACAGGCATCTGTGAGCTGCCATGAGGGAGTTGAACACAGATCTTCTGAAAGAGAACCCTTAAAAATATTCAATGTAGCCAGGCACAGTGGCACACACCTTTAACTCAGCACTCAGGAGGAAGGGGCAGGCTATCTCTATGAGTACAAGGACAAAGTATCCTGGTCTACAAAGTGAGTCCAGGACAGCCAGGGCTTTGTGACACAGAAAAACCCTACCTCAAAAAACTGGAAGAAAAAAAATTTAATGTACATGTACACAGTCTCATCAAACCAGAGCCAACAGAAGTTTCAAGTAAATAGTGATAGTAGTTAGGCTGGTCATGGTGGCTCGAATCTGTAATCCAGCACTTTCAAGTCTGAAACAGGGATATGTACTTCCAGTTCTAGATGAGCCTAAGCTATAGCGAACATCTGAACAAAAAAACAAAACTAAGTTTATCACCCACCTTCAATGAGGATATAACACAATAAAGCAACAGTCATTCATCTGAGTTTAAAACCTCAATTTAAATAGTAACTGTTGTAGTAACTACTATAGTATATTTAAAAGACTATAGTTTCAGTTTAAATAAATTAACATAGAGCACAGTACCTGGAATAAAGTAGAACTGTTGGATGAATTAACTCATGAAGCAGGGCTTTATGCACTGGTTTGAACTTTTGGGCAATACCCTGAAATTTTCACATACAATAGGTAAACCTACTAGTTCTACCTAACTACTGCTTGAGTTCCCTCTAAACTATTCCCTCAGAGCGTTCAACACTACCTATAACATTATCCATACTCCAACTCTGAAGAACTATGTAAGAGAGTTCAGAATATTTACCAAATCAATACTGTCTTCCTGAAATGGATCCCATACTAAGTTAAGGTCTACTCTAAGAAGTTTAATCCCCTTTTTACAAGGTTCATTTCTAGTTTGGAAAGCATATATGCTTAATACTTAAGACTGAAGACATTTTCATTCATTTACGACGGAACACAGATACTCAAACTAACCATACTAAATTAAACCATACTAAAATTCATTTTCGTTCAAGCTCTGTATCATAGTAATAATGTACAAAAGTACAGCCAGGCCTTCTGTGATTCAGGCTATAATCTCTACCCTCTCATCAGGCACTCAACAAATTAAAAGTAACAGAAAAGATAAAGCGTATTACACTGTCATCTATGTGCATTCTATGAGGGTAGGGAAAAATAAATAACAAACCTGAAATTTAGCCACACAACTGGAATTGCAAAAGTTATACAATTTTCCATCAGGCATTGTGGCTTGGTATTGAGGTAAAGAGTTTCGCTTACAAAAATGGCAAATAATTCCCAAACCTATAAGAGAAAAGATACATACATGATTTCTTTATAAAGTAAAAGAAAGTTTTCTAAAAATGTTAACTGATTTTTTAAAATGGGTCTCTTATAAATTATTCTATTATTCGTAACTTAAGTTATTCAAGATTATTTCCATCTTTAAAAAATACTGCCAGGAGTTTAAGAGATGGCTCAGCAATAAGAGCTCTTTCAAAGAAAGAGTTTCCAGCACCATAGACAGCTAACAACACCTCTAACTCCATTTCCAGATGGTCCTTCACCCTCTTCTGACCTCTGTGGGTACTACATGCACACAGGTGCACAGACACATATGGGCAAAACACCCAGACACATAAAATAAAAATAAATAATTAACAGAAAAGTATTGCCATAAAAAAATTAAAAACACCTGTCAAATTACCTAAAGTATAGATGGACACGTAAAAAAATGTTTTAGATATTTTGGGGTGTAATCAGAACTTTAGATAAGGATTTCAGATACAGAGAAAACTTTACTAACTTTTAAAAATTGACAAATATAGAAATCATCGAAGTTAGGTATGGGAAAACAAAACACAGTTAAAACTATATAAAAATAAGATCAGTTATCTTTTAATAAACAGTCATGTCATTAAAGTCTTTAAACTTCCCAAATATCTGAAACTCACTCTGTGACTTGGCATATTTTGTCTTGTGACTGTTCATGCACGCCGTTGAACAATATGGCTCCATATATCCATTAGGACCTATGCACTGAGTCATATCAAAAAACCTGCACTGTGTTCGGCAACCAGTACAAGTTGTCAGTTTTCCATATTTCTAAAATTTGAACATAAAAAGATAAATTTAAAAACACACATATGCACACATACATTTCAACTAGAACCGATTTCATATTATTTTTTTTGAAGAGCCCAGGCCAGCTCTCTACGGAGCCCAGACCAACCTCAAAACCTTTGGCCTCTCTTCCTTAGCCCCACAAGACCTGAGACTGCAGACATATGCCATCATACATGGCTCAAAGCATTTGTTACCTATTCAAAGTGACCTATTACTCTCTTTTATCTAGATGCAAACTAATTGTGCCATTAACTAGATTAGGTATTAACAAACCAATCATTATCTTCTAACTCTCCTTCAAATGGATCCTAAAATGGATTTTAATTTTTCATATACATTTGACACCACGGACTCACGTAGTATAAGGAGATAACTAATTCCCACCAGTTGTCACCAGTTGTTCATACACCCACCACGGCCTTCTTGATTAGCCTGTGGCCTCCATACATACATACCTGTAAGCACCCCTGCATCCATAACTGTTCATGCCATCCTCTGCCCCTACATACACACACACACGCGCACACACACACAATTACACACATGTAATTTTCTAAAATAAGTCTTAAATCTCACCAACATTTCTGCTCACCTCAGGCTGCATTAAGAAAGAGTCCTGCATATGATCTCGAACTTCCTTCAGGAAGCTTGGATGGCTACCTACCTAAAACATTTTAAAAGACTTTGTAAGTACATGAAGAAAAGCAGACTGAAAAGCAAATGAACTATCTATGAAAGCTGCTTCAATTATTGACTAATTTATAATCCTCTAACTTTCAACAATGCATTTTCTGTTCTGTGCCCACTGTTGATGGAGAAAAATGATACAATGATAAAACATTAGTTTAACAACATAGGAAAGAAAAAGCAGGCCAGGCGGTGGTGGCGCACGCCTTAAATCCCAGCACTTGGGAGGCAGAGGCAGGCAGATTTCTGAGTTCGAGGCCAGCCTGGTCTACAGAGTGAGTTCCAGGACAGCCAGGGCTACACAGAGAAACCCTGTCTCAAAAAAACCAAAAAAACAAAAACAAAAAAATAAAGAAATAAAAAATAAAAAAATAAAAAGTCAGCCATTATGCTGACCTTTAGCCCCAGCACTCAGGAAGCAGAGGCAGGTGGATCTCTATAAATTCAAGGCTAGAGTGTTCTAAAGAGTGAGTTCCAGGACAGCCAGTGCTACATAAAGAAACCCTATCTCAAAAATAAAATAAATAAGTAAGTAAATAAATAAATAAATAGAAAAACAAAGAACAGCTAACTTCAATGTCAGAGAGACAAAGTTAAAGAGGGAAAATATAAGAAAAAATGATATAATTTTAGTTCCTAAGCTGCATGAAGATACTGCTTGAACTAGAATATATTATATTATGTTGTGGTCTCTAAACTGCCTGCTTACGTCTTGTGATCTTGCATGGACTCCTACCTACTTACTTATCAATGTATGAAAATAACAGCTTAAAGATCAAAACATGAAAAAGCATTTCAAGTAAATACCTAATTTACTTAACAATGATATGGCAGTGGGGCTCAGTGACAGGGTATATGCTTAACTAACACAAAGCTTCACTTGACAGGCTGAAAGAAAAGGAAAATCACCACGGGTTCCATGACATGTAGTGAACACATGCACACACCAAGAAATATAGGAAAAAAAAAAAAAAGATCCTTAGACTAGGAACTTGAAACTTCAATTAAAAAGAGCAATCTTTATTACCAAAAGCAAACCTTAGTAGAGACCTTTCCTAAGAACCCCAATCTAGACACTATTGTGTTAAAGATCAACTCTTCCACTCCACCAGGCAATAATCATATAGCTTAACCACCAACAACTACTCTTACCCCAAATCCTACCAAGGTGATCTCACCTAAGTCAGTCAAACCAATAACTAGCAACAACAAGGCCAATTAGAGAAGGTGGCTGCATCTCAAACACTAAAAAAACAAAAGAACTGGGGAAGTATCTCAGTGGAATGTATTTGCAATAAAGCCCATAGTGAAGCCCCAGACCTATACAAACACTGTGTTAGTATCTGTCTATAATGTACTACCTGGAAGGTGGCTATAAGAGAACCAGCCTTCCAAAGTCATCTTCACCTACACACAGCAAGTAAAGACTCAGCCTGGGATACAAAAAAAAAAAAAAAAGAAGGGGAAGGGGGAAGGAAGAGGAGGGAGCAAGAGACAGCAGTAGCCACCACAGCTGCTAGGCATGGAGCTCGAGACTGGATGAGACAGGAAGAATACATACCTATTTGAGACAATTTGAGTTCTTGTCCTTAACAAGAACTTGTCATTTATTCATTAAATCTCAAATACTTCAACTTCCCTTTTAAAAAGGAAAATCAAACAAGTAAACAAATACAAAAACACAAGCCTGGCTGTGGTGGTACATACTATTAATCCCAGCACTCAGGAAGCAGAGACAAGCAGATCTCTGAATTCGAGGCCACTCTGATCTAGACAACGAGTTCCAGGACAGCCAGGGATATACAGAAAAACCCTGCCTTGGGGGGGTGGGGGTGGGGGGAGGAAATGCTGGAGACTGAAACAAGGGCTTTTCTTACACAGGCAAAAAAGAGGTAAATGTTCTACTACTAAGCTCCAGCAAATAACTGCTATAACCTGACAATAGAAAAAAGAAAAAAAAAATCCAAGATTAAAGCACAAAAACAGTAAAAAAGAATAAAAAATAAAATCAACATAAGTTGATTATTCAAAAAGATAAAGGCCAAACCTGTAGGCTACAAGCCTATAATACCAGCTACTGAGACTGAAGCAGATAGGTTGCTATGAGTTTGAGGCCAGCCTGGAACACACAGTGAGTTCCAAGTAAACCTGGGCTACAGAATGAGAACCTATCTCATTTGGATGGATGGATGGATGGATGGATGGATGGATGGATGGATGGATGAGGAGGGAGGAGGCTGGGGAGAAGAATAAATATTAAGAGCACAGGCTGCTCTGTGGGCATCACACACGAATGTGCTGTGCACACCCATACATATAGGTAATAACACCATATATATAAAATTGTTAAGTAAGTTAAAATTTAAAAAGTGTTTTTCAACAATTATAAGGACAAAAGTTTAATCCCTAGCATCCAACTGAAACAGCTAAGCATAGTGGCATGCATTTGTATTATAGTGCTGGAGAGATGGAAACAGATGGATGTTCTCGAGCTCTGAGGCCAGTCAGCCTAGTTTAATTAATTGTGAGCCCCAGATCTCAAGGCAAAGCATTACCTAAAAAAAACAAGATGACAGAAGAATGACACTCAAGATTGGCCTGTGGCCTCCATACATACATACCTGTAAGCACTCCTGCATCCATAACTGCTCATGCCATCCCCTGTCCCTCAACACACACACACACACACACACACACACACACACACAAATGAAAATATAGAAAGAAAAGAAGATGTGACCACAACTCAGTGGGAAGGCATCTGCCTAGCATGTGAGGCCCTAGGTGCAGAAAGTGGGGATAAAAAACAAACAAACAAAAAAACCTTTGCTAAATTAACAAAAGACACAAAAGCTAAGGAAATAAACTCCTCCATACACAAACCTGATGTCTTGAGTTCCACCCCTAATGCCTATACTAAAAATACATAAAAAGCCAGGCATATTTGTAACAGCACCTAGTAGTTCCTCTGCCCCTGCTCACTGGCCCGGCACCCTAAAAAACTTGGTGAACTCCAAGTCAGTAAGATACCATATTTCAAAACATAGGCATATACATATACCAGGTGCTCAGCACCTAAAGAAAGACACCCCAAGGTTGACCTCTGGCTTACACACATGCACACATGAGCCCATACCCAAATATGTATACATATATACACCAAAAATGGACAGGAAGAACATTAGACATAAATGACATTAATGTTTTGAAAAAAAAAGTACAAGAAAGTGGTATGAAAAGTTGTACAAAACAAATTCAACCTAGATGAAATGGAAAAATTTCTAAAATGACAATTTCCCAAAACCAACACAAAAACTCCCCAGAATGTGTCAAGAGAATTCTATTAAGTAAAGAGACTTAAATCAATCGATGAAAACTCCCTGCCATTGGCATGATGGCATACAGCTGTAACCCTAGCACACAGAAGTCTGAGGCCAGCCTGGAGTACATAACAGGACTCTATTTCAAGACTAAAGCAAATTTTCATCAGAGAAAAGCCCAGGAATAGACAGTTTCACTACTAAATTCTATAAACAACAGGCATTCTCAATCTCTTCTAAAAAGTGGATGAGACAATTTTAACCCACCTTTCCACTGGCCAGCATTACACTCACTACAAAACATAGATAACTACAAAAGACAATCAGAGTAGGCATAAGCTTAGTTAGAAGTGTGTAGTAAAGATCAAATGGAATTTATCCCTATAAAGAGCATTCAAAAAAGGAAATCAATCTACATGCTACAATTAAGTTTTTTTTTAATTATCTCAAAGGAACAGAAACAGCATTAAACCAAATTCAACACCCTTTTATTATTTAAAAAAAACAAACAATACACTTAATATTAAAAACAAAAAAAACTGACCCTTACAATGGCTATATGAACTACCAAAAGTAATAAGTATTGAATTGGTGAAAAACAAAAAGCTTTCCTGTGGGATCACAAACATTTCCTGGCAAAGAAAAAAAACACATAAGGCATCCATCCATATTAGAAAATAAATAAAACTCTAATGGACAGGTAGATGAAATGACTAAAAATTTAGAAAATCCAAGGCATTAACAGTAAAATCAGAGGTAATAAATACTTTCAGCAAAGCTGAAGATCACAAAGGACAATAATTCATCATATTTCTATACATTGGCCGTGTGCAGTCTCAAAAGGAAATAAATGTGTCAATTAACAAGTCCAAGAGTAAACATGTAGGAATAACCATAGAAATGAAGATCTACACAGTGAAAATTACAAGACTGCTCAGGAAATAGACTTAAGTAAATGCAAAGCCATATGTTTATAAATAAGAAGGCCTAATATTGTAAAGATGTCAACACTAAACAAAGCCACATATAGATTCTATTCGCCATATTCAAAGTTCTATTTCTGCAAACTTGAAAAGCAGCTTCTCGAATAAAAGATAATTAAAATTAGAATGGGATCAAGATATCCAAACAATCAAGAACTGAATTGAGAGTAGCTAAACAAAATTGTTTCCTGGCTTTAAAATACTATAATCGATAGATATGTAGCTCAGCGGTTCAATATCTGGTACCAAAACAAAATAAACAAAAACATAGGAAAGAAAGGCACAAGAGCAAAGCAGTGAAGCAGGTTCGTAAGATACAAGGCATACATTTGCTCTTGTACAAAGATGAGCATTTTCCTCACTGTAGACAATAAACACAGGAAAGGCACACCAGTAATTTCAACAGGGAACATACTTAATGATGAGTAGAACCATATGTCACCCTCAAACAAATGATTCTAAAGCTAACACCCAATCTTTTTTGAGGGAGTGTCTTACTATGGATAGTCCTCAAACAATTAACCCTCCTGCTTCAACCTCCCAACTATTGAGATTATAGATACCTATTATCCCCAAATATGGGGGGGGGGGGGGGTAACAAAATATTCTGTTATTCATCATTCACTATTCTGTAACAGCAAAAGATGGGTCATAGTTTAAATGCCATCAACAACAAAGCTACTACAATATAGACTTACACTGTCTCTTATATAGCCAATCTCCCAACATTATAGAAGGAATTAATAGACAACATCTTGATTTACTGGTTAAAAAACACTCCTGCTGTGGATTGTGTTACTGGGTTATTAGCATGGAACTGAGCATGGAATGAGAAGAGAGGGGCACACTATTATACAGACTGTACTTCCAGCAAATAAATATACTGAATGAAAATAACCTAAAAGCATAAAACTAAAAGATAATTAAAATGCAATAAACAATGTAGGAATGGTGATGTATGCCTACAATCACAGTACTTGGGAAGCTGAGACAGGAGATCAAGGGCAACCTGAGCTACAAAGAGGTTCTATGACAAAATAGAACAAAATAAAAGACAATGTTGTAAGAATATCTTTGCTTTTATTATTATAGACTGAACTGTGTATTCCCTTCAACCCAATTCTTACTTTGAAACTCTAACCTCCAATTCACTTGTTATATGAAGACAAGTTCTTTTAGAAGCAATTAAGGTTACAAGGTCATAAGGTCATAAGGGTGGGTGGGGCACTAATCCAACAGGACTGACTGGTTTCCTTTATGAGAAGAGGGAAATGTCATTTACTAACAAGGCAAAAAGAGACAGACAAAAAGTAGGAAGTAGAGAAAAGCAGAGCCCAATACTTGGACTTTCACCCTCCACAATTGTGAGAATGTCAATCACTACTGTTTAAGTCAGAGTCTGTAGTATATGGTAAACAGCAGCTCTAAAGAACTAATTAATACTAATCTAATCATCCGTGTGTTTCAATTTAATTTTTAATAATGGGTTCATAAAATTATGATGAAATAGACTATGCTACCATAAAGGCTCAGGTATTTTTTTAAATAATTTAATTATTTTTATTTCAATTGTATTGATGTTGAAGGTGTCAGATTCCCTGGAACTAGAATTGCAGACAGTTGTGAGCCACCATGTGGCTGCTGAGAATTAAACTCAGGACCTCTGGAAGAGCAGCCAGGGCTCTTAACCGCTGAGCCATCTCTCCAGCCCCTATGCTACCATAAAGAATGAGAAGGATCTATCCAGGTATTGATAGGGAATGCATTAAGAGACATAGCGAACAATACATACATTAAGATACCTTCTGTTTATAACTAAAGAAACTTAACAATGAAGTTAGCCATTTCCTTAATTTTTCAAAAGGAATTACAGAACAAAACTGTAAACTGAGAAGCACTACTTACAAATAATGCATTTAAGAGTCGAGGAGAAAACAAAATAGCAGCTAAACTAAAGCTCATCTTATAATGCATGCTACTTCTAAATGTATTTACAAACTCAAATGAGACCTAACACTGGAAATAAATCTGAAAGCTTAAAAGATGAAGGTAATCACTCTCAACCCAAGTTCTAACAGTGTGAAAATTCCTCTCCAACTCCTCCAAAAGAAAATTCAAGAGAAACTGCACTAGTAGCATTTACTAGTACATGTATAATTACTAGCTGAGTTCCAACAATAAATATTTTCTAATTCTTTTGAGGTAGGCCCTCTTCATATGAAGATAACCATAAAATTAAATGAGATTCCAAGATAAATGCACTTAATCCCCCTACATTAGCACTACTACAATGCCTCCAAATCCACCCAAAAGAATACCTGGTTGGTTTGGTTTTTAGCACATAAATTACCTGTTTGTATTCAGTAACACAACTCTGACAGCAAAATCTTTTCTGCTGACCATCAATCACCAGAACATTATTTCCAGCACCTTTACTGGGCAAATATTCTCCGCACTGTTCACAGCAATTCATTATCAGACCATTGGCCATTCTATATCTGTTAAAGCAGTGGTCACTGCACAGTTTATGAGTCATGTTTTTAAAACTAACTTCATGGCGAATCTAAAAGAAAAACAAACAGAATTTGTAAGAGTTTATCTGTTTTCAAGTAGCTAAAAAGGTAATTCAACAGCAACAAAGACACTATACCCCAAGAAGACTAATTTGAGGAAAAGAAAAAAACTGAAATACATTTCATGTCTTTGAACTATTTATATATGAAAGAGTATATGTACACATGCATGGCACTGAAAAAAAATGAATGACCATAGTAATTATCACTATAAACCTCTCTGAAGATAAAAATGACAGAAAAGCCACCATGTTTTAAATCTTTAGACAACAAAAGAAATGACAAAGTACGCTGCACTGGCAAGGAAGAAAAAAGTACAATACTACAATCAACTCAAACAAGCTATGTATATACATACTGCTTTAACATCATAATTAATAATGTAAATTTTCAAAAATGCTTCCACTTCTTTTTCCTGCAAGTGTTTGTCTTTCTTGTATAGTCAGTCTATTTGTATAAATAAACTTATTATTAGACCAATAAAAAAGGAAAAGCAATCATAATACTATATTTTTTTTTCTATGACTAAATGAACAAGGTAATTTTTCCTGAGCTTCCTTGGAAGACTAGAATTATGCAATCCTAGTCTTGTATATTGTCATTCTGAGGACACATGCATCAATATAGAGTACAGGAAAACTGTTAAAATCTGAACTCATCTCTCATACGAGAAAGTGAAAAGTACAGAAGTACAAACCTCAGTCAATTTGCCACAGATTGTGCATCTTGATTTATTTAGAGCTCCTTTAGCGGGACTCTGTTTGTCCTCATAGAGAGACAAACAAGATGTACTACAAAATTCTTGGAAGGACTCACTTGAGTCCACTTGAGCAACAATGGTTCCTTTCATTGTAGTTATATCTCTGAAAAACAAGAGGTATAACTTAAAGCTCCATTTCATAAGAAACCAAAAATAAAGTTATTAACTGGTATTTTTAACCACAGATTCAATCATGGAAATCAAACACCATTTTTAGATCCAGGAAATCACTTTTAGTATAAAATATGAACTTTTAATAAAGATTAAAAGTCAAAATATTTGATCCTATCACTAATAATTTATCTTTACACTAACAAGGCTTTCAGATATTGGAAACATTAAAATAAAATTTCCATAATAACATGGAATAAAAAACTAATTTAAACTGATACTGTCTGTTCAATTCCCCTTCGCAACTAATTAACAGGTAAACGTGAGATTACTAGATTATGGAATGTAACATCAAGAGAGACTACACAAAATAGTCTACTTAAATGCACTACTTGCCAGGCATGATACCTCATACCTATAATCTGAACACTTAGAAGGTGAAGGTTTGAAAAGACACTGAAATCTATTATCAAAGAAATAGTTTTACTTTTCCAGTAACCTAATACTTAGGATTGCAGAGTTCAAGGTCTCAGTATACAGTCAACCTAGATTACATGAGACCATGTTTGAACATAAATGAATGTATGAATGAATGAATGAGCAAACAGATAAATAAATAGAAGGTGGGGCATGCACCTGTAATCCCAGCACTTGGGAGTAGTGGGACTGCCACAAACTTGCAGCCAGGATGACTTATATGAAGTTCCAAGATAGCCTGGACTATGTAACAAGGTATCTCAAAGACCCCCCCCCAAAAAAAAATATCTAAATAATAATATGATAGTATTGACATTTCTTTGAAATAACTAAATTTCTAAACACTCTATTACATTAACTAAAACAATCTAAACACTATAGAACAATTGTTTCTGTGCTTAGATTTACTATAAAAAATAAAGCACTAAGCTCTTCCCATAGGTCTAATGGCTAAAAACAGCTTCAGACTTGGGCTTCTCCAAAAGAGTACAGAAAAAAAAAAAAGGCAGAAGCTGTATTTCCAAGACAAGAAAAAAAAGGTACCTGGGTCATGAAACTATAAATCTTTGATAATAATCAAAACAAAAATAGCCCAAAACCAAAGCTTTACCTACTGAAAATAACCACATTCCAAAGATATTGTAAAATGTGGCATACTATAATACAGAATGTACCATATATGCATTCTGTATCATAAATATAAATCCGTAACTGTCTAACATTAAGCTATATTCTTAAATTTAACAATGAATTTAGTAGTAGAGTGCCTCTGTGAGGTGAGGCTCTAGACTTGCTCCCTAGCACTGTAAAAACAAAAAATACAAAACAAGGTAAATATTCAGATACTTTCAAATTTAAGGAATCCATTGGACATGACAGTCAAAATAACTACAAGGACCTAGACAATCAGCCCCAAGCCTACCAAATAAGAAGCCCCATCTATAACCCACTTGGGCTTCAAAGATTCAAAGTAGCTTACCAATTTTTAAAACATGAATTCATCACAAAAAAAAACTCTAAAAACTTTTATGATCAATATTCAATGACGAAAGGTTAATCTTACTTTTTACACATAACACAGAGTTTCTTTGGAGCAGGTTTATGAGAGAAAGAAGAAAGGCAGGTGGTTGAACAAAAGAGGTGAGCTGATCCTTTTCGTTGGTAAGCTGTCTGCCCCTTCTGCAGAGGTTTTTTGCAGTTTGCACAAGTGACTTTAACTGGTTTAGTGGGCTGTTGGTTTGAGGGCTGGAATATCTGTTTAGGAAGTGAGGCCACTGGTGATAAAGAATCCACCCCTTGTTGTTTCTGGTTACGAGGAAATGATGCTGACTGGGAGATCCAAGAATCTTAAAAACAAAACATATATAAAAGAATAATCAAATAGGTATTTAAAGACACTGAAATCTATTATCAAAGAAATAGTTTTACTTTCCCAGTTTGCACAAGTTTATGATACTAATATTAAAGACACACATGATAGTTCATGCCTGGAAAACTCAAACAGGAGGATTACCATGAATTTAAGACCATCCTGAGCTCTGAAGTAAGAGACCTATCTCAGATGTTAACGAAGTAGCAACTTTGCAGAGAGGAAGTGTTTGCAAGTAAGATTATCTGCTTCCTATAAATAATATATTGTAGTCTTAAAAACAGCAAGAGAGTATATAATGTATGCTATAATGTATGATTAGCTTGATTTAGCCATTCTACAATTTATACATATTTCTAATCAACATGTTCTCCAAGATAAAAGCATATTATTTGTTTGTCAGAATAAATAAATAAATAAATAAATAAATAAATAAATGGAGCATGGAGCTGGAAGACCCACTCAGATGTTAACTATTTGGCTGCAAACGCATAAGGATCAGAGTTCAATCCCCAGAATTCACAGGTTTTTTTTTTTTTGGGGGGGGGGTTGTTTTCTTTTCTTTTAAAAGCAAGCCCAGTATGGTATACACACTCATAACCTCAAAACTGAGGAGACAAAGACATCCCCAGGGCTCACTGACCAGCCAGCCTTGGCTACTTAATAAGCTGTAGGCAAATGAGAAGATCTCCTCTCAAAGAGTAAGATACACAATGCTTGAGGAACAATACTCAAGATTAACCTCTGGCTCCCACAACAATGCACATGTACCTTATGCAAATACCCATGCACATACAACAAACAAGTAAAAACAAATTTAAAGTAATAGTTTGTATTCTACTACTTCTAAAAATTGGTATGCTACTATAAAAAATGTGTTTCACTCTTTAAACTAGAAATAACATAGAATATTAAATGTGCTAATACTGTAACAAAGCACAGAGACTAGCATACAGGAAGTACTAAAAATGTCACTGGTATGAAACAGGAAGTGTAGATGCATTTAGAAGGAACACATATTATCAACATATGGAACAATGCATGGTGGCACATGCCTTTAATCCCAGCATTTAGGAAGCAGAGGCAGGCAGATATCTGTGAGTTTAAGGCCAGCCTGGTCTAAAAGCTAGTCCACAACAGCCAGAACTTGTTACAGAGAAACACTGTCTCAAAAAACAAACAAAAAAATGAAATAAGAGGGCTGGTGAGATGGCTCAGTGGTTAAGAGCACTGACTGCACTTCCAGAGGTCACGAGTTCAAATCCCAGCAACCACATGGTGGCTAACAACCATCTGTAATGATATCTGATGCCCTCTTGTGGGGTGTCTGAAGACAGCTACAGTGTACTTACATATAATAAATAAATAAAAATTAAAAAAAAAAAAAAAAGAAAGTTAAAACTTTAAAAAAAAAATGAAATAAGATATTAGGACCTTGGACAAATGCAACATGTTTGAAAAGACATAAACTATTTGCAAACATCTTTTTACATTTTTTTCTATTATATCTATTGTTTGACTCTACATATGTGCATGCCATAGGCCAAAAATGTCTTCAGAATAGCTTTCCAGGGGAGGTGAGAGGGAGGGACTAGGAAGAATGGAGGGAGGGGAGGCTTTGATTGGATATATAAAGTAAATAATTAATAATTTTTTTTTAAAAAAAAAGTTTCCAGAGAAAACTTTTCACGAAAGCCACAAAAAAAAAAAAAAAAAAAAAAAAAAAGCTTTCCAGTGTGAGGCAGTGGTGGCACAGGACTTTAATCCCAGCAGTAGGGAGACAGAGACAGATGGATCTCTTGAGTCCAAGCCCAGCATGGCACTTAAAAGAGTGAGTTTCAGGACAGCCAGAGCTACCTACACAGAGAAACCTGGTCTCAAAAAAGAAAGAAAGAAAGAAAGAAAGAAAGAAAGAAAGAAAGAAAGAAAGAAAGAAAGAAAGAAAGAAAGAAAGAAAGAAAGAAAGAGAGAGAGAAAGAGAGAGAGAGAAAGAGAGAGAGAAAGAAAGAAAGAGAGAGAGAAAGAAAGAAAGAAAGAAAGAGAGAAAGAAAGAAAGAGAGAAAGAAAGAAAGAAAGAGAGAAAGAAAGAGAGAAAGAAAGAGAGAGAGAGAAAGAGAGAGAGAGAAAGAGAGAGAGAGAGAGAGAGAGAGAGAGAGAGAGAGAGAGAGA